GAAACCTGAATCCCCTTCTACACCCTGAACCAAGCTTGAACCATATATATTACAAACATAAAAGATGCCAGAGAACTGATCATAGCTGCGTTAATGAGGCGCGCTGTGTGGAGAGAGAGAGAGAGAATATAATCGGCGAGTCATTTAAGGAAGGCGGAATATTGGGCTGACTAAGGTTCCCAATAAAGGACTGTGGCTGAAAAGACAATGAATTCTACCTGGTAATATGCAATTGGAGGGTTGGAAATACAAGTGGTAGATACAGGTAATATAAGAACAAAATACATGACATTACAGTGAGTGATACAAGAAAATACATGAACAAAAAAATACCCCCTCATGTAAAAGAGATAAAAGAGTTGAGAGATACAGTAGTTGAGAGATACAGGAGTTGAGAGATACAGGAGTTGAGATATACAGGAGTTGAGAGATACAGGAGTTGAGAGATAAAAGAGTTGAGAGATACAGGAGATGAGAGATAAAAGAGTTGAGAGATACAGGAGTTGAGAGATACAGGAGTTGAGAGATACAGGAGTTGAGATATACAGGAGTTGAGAGATACAGTAGTTGAGAGATACAGGAGTTGAGAGATACAGGAGTTGAGAGATAAAAGAGTTGAGAGATACAGGAGTTGAGAGATACAGGAGTTGAGAGATACAGGAGTTGAGAGACAGAAATACAGGAGTTGAGAGATACAGGGTTGGAGTTGAGAGATACAGGAGTTGAGAGATAAAAGAGTTGAGAGATACAGGAGTTGAGATATACAGGAGTTGAGAGATACAGGAGTTGAGAGATACAGGAGTTGAGAGATACAGGAGTTGAGAGATACAGGAGTTGAGAGATACAGGAGTTGAGAGATACAGGAGTTGAGAGATACAGGAGTTGAGAGATAAAAGAGTTGAGAGATACAGGAGTTGAGAGATACAGGAGTTGAGAGATAAAAGAGTTGAGAGATACAGTAGTTGAGAGATACAGGAGTTGAGAGATAAAAGAGTTGGAGAGATACAGGAGTTGAGAGATACAGGAGTTGAGAGATACAGGAGTTGAGAGATAAAAGAGTTGAGAGATACAGGAGTTGAGAGATAAAAGAGTTGAGAGATAAGGAGTTGAGAGAGTACAGGAGTTGGAGAGATACAGGAGTTGAGAGATACAGGAGTTGAGAGATACAGGAGTTGGAGATACAGGAGTTGAGAGATAAAAGAGTTGAGAGATACAGGAGTTGAGAGATACAGGAGTTGAGAGATACAGGAGTTGAGAGATACAGGAGTTGAGATATACAGTAGTTGAGAGATACAGTAGTTGAGAGATACAGGCGTTGAGATATACAGGAGTTGAGAGATACAGGAGTTGAGAGATACAGGAGTGAGAGATACAGGAGTGAGAGACAGGAGTTGAGAAATACAGGAGTTGAGAGATACAAGAGTTGAGAGGATACAGGAGTTGAGAGATACAGGAGTTGAGAGATACAGGAGTTGAGAGATACAGGAGATGAGAGATACAGGAGTTGAGAGATACAGGAGTTGAGAGATACAGGAGTTGAGAGATACAGGAGTTGAGATATACAGGAGTTGGAGAGATACAGGAGTTGAGAGATACAGGAGTTGAGAGACAGGAGTTGGAGATACAGGAGTTGAGAGATAAAAGAGTTGAGAGATACAGGAGTTGAGAGATACAGGAGTTGAGAGATACAGAGTTGAGAGATAAAGAGTTGAGAGATACAGGAGAGAGATAAAGAGTTGAGAGATACAGGAGTTGAGAGATACAGGAGTTGAGAGATACAGGAGTTGGAGAGATGCAGGAGTAGAGATACAGGAGTTGAGAGATACAGGAGTTGAGAGATACAGGAGAGATACAGGAGATGAGAGATACAGGAGTTGAGAGATACAGGAGTGAGAGATACAGGAGTTGAGAGATACAGGAGTTGAGATAACAGCAAGAGAGTTGAGAGATACAGTAGTTGAGAGATACAGGAGAGAGAGAGAGAGTTGGAGAGATACAGGAGTTGAGAGATACAGGAGTTGAGAGATAAAAGAGTTGAGAGATACAGGAGTTGAGATATACAGGAGTTGAGAGATACAGGAGTTGAGAGATACAGGAGTTGAGAGATACAGGAGTTGAGAGATACAGGAGTTGAGAGATACAGGAGTTGAGAGATACAGGAGTTGAGAGATACAGGAGTTGAGAGATAAAAGAGTTGAGAGATACAGGAGTTGAGAGATACAGGAGTTGAGAGATAAAAGAGTTGAGAGATACAGTAGTTGAGAGATACAGGAGAGACAAAGAAGGAGTGACAGAGGGAGACATTATCAATAAGACAAGACCATCGCTGGCTGACCAAATACAACATTAAGTATTTATTATGGTGTGGCCGGGATGATTCTTTAATGTGGTCTCTCTCTCTCTCTCTCTCTCTCTCTCTCTCTCTCTCTCTCTCTCTCTTTTACCTCCCCTCTCCCTCTCTCTCTCTGTCTCTCTCACTATGTATCTATCAATCTATCACTTTCTCTTCCTCTATGTGTGTGTGTGTGTGTGTGTGTGTGTGTGTGTGTGTGTGTGTGTGGCTGGAGTTGAGTTACCACTGGTCCGCTATCAGGCCAGATCTAAAACCCACTACCGAACCCTTCCATACCCTGAACCTCGACCCCCTCCCATCTTACACCCTGAACCTCGAACCCGTCCCATCTTACACCCTGAACCTCGACCCCCTCCCATCTTACACCCTGAACCTCGAACCCTTTCCATGCTACACCCTGAACCTCGACCCCCTCCCATCTTACATCCTGAACCCCGAATCCCCACACATCCTGAACCCCAAACCTCTCCACGACCTAAACTCCTGAGCCTGAGGGAGATTTAGGTTCAAGATGTGGTGGAGAAGGTTCAAGTTTCAAGGGTGTAGTGTGGCTAGGAAAAGGTTCAGGGTTCAGTGTATAGAAGGTTCTGTCATTGGGTGCTAGAGCTGACTACTAACATCAGGTTCTGTTCTAGTCTCCACTCAACCGTGAAGGTTCCTGAGACTCCCTTAGCAGCACCTCTCAGGCCACACAGTCTCAGAATCTCATCTAAGTGCTCGCCAACTTGACAGACTTACTCAGGCAACGTCATACAGATATACAGGCGGTCTGAGATTGGTTTCTGAAAAGATTCTTAAGTGATGGCGTACCTAAGAGACTCACTCAAGCAACGGCATCCTCAAAGGTTCTTACGGTAAGTCAAATTCTTCGCCCCAAAATACCTGACTCACACCTTAAGCTACATCACATATCTGGAGTCGATATTACGCTAACATTGATGCGTTTTTTAAAGTTTTTAAGGAGAGAGAGAGAGAGAGAGCGAGAGAGAGAGAGAGAGATATGAGTCAAGGCCTCACTGTACCACGTAACACGAGGACTGGCAGGGAGTCGACGTGTTATTTATCAGGCTCCACCACTCACTCCCAGATGAATGGCGCCAGTTAGTATGTACACGCGCTCGGTCGTTACAACTCTCATTTTTTGTCTTTTTTTTTCACCTCGCTGTCCATTTCTCCAAAGGTTATATGAAAGTACTGTTTTTTTTTCTCTCTCCCGTATGTGACATTTTTTTCCAAGTGTTATAAAACGCCTGCAATAACCCATTCGTGTTCATCCAACGTAATGGAAGGCATGTTATATTTTTGTTATGTATATATGTATGTATGTAACTATATATGTATTTATGTATGTATGTATGTATGTATGTATGTATGTATGTATGTATGTATGTACGTATGTATGTATGTATATTGACTGTCAAGAGCTGTGTGTGTAGCGGTGGTGGTGTTTACGTTCAAAGTACTGTATTTACAGCTTATCTGGCCGACAAACAAAGAATAGGCCGAACCGTCGACACTTAGCTAAGGACATAAGCCATCTTACCCTCTTACCGAATCAGGGAAGTTAAACGAGAGAAGAACTGTTATTTCCCTCAAAGTCAGTTGCCGCCATGAGTGACCAGTGCCGAGTGCCAGCGACAGTGCCACATCACCTTGAACCAGCCTATAACTGTCCACTAGAACGTGCTCGCACACCGACTACTTCTCTAAGTTGCAGTAAATTTACGAACAGTATATAGATGTAGTCCAGACAGTGACTAAGGCAACAACAATCACAGAAAACTCAATATCTCAATGTGATACATGGCAACAGCAGAGCACCTCTCCACCACCCCAGAGGGAAACAACCAGAAGCAACAACTCTAACACATTATTAGCTTAGCTAGACCGTAGCAAGGCCCGCCTCCTTCTACCTCCTATATTTTTTCCAATTTCCGAACTATTAACTCCCTTCCTCCCTGCTAATCTTCTTTCACCACTCCTTTCTGTACAAAAAAGGAGGAGTATATGCCTCTGGTACTGTAAAGTCACAGGCAAATATCGCGCTTCCAATACCAGTACGGAGCTGACACTCCAGAGAAGTGAAATGACTCACGAACTTTCTAAGTATATCAGGTGGCGGATACAACAGTCACCCAGCGACGGACACTGCCTGCTACACGCATTCCTGGCAGCGGTTTCAGCTATAATAACAACTATACAACAACTGTGTAGTAAGAGCAACACTTATAAACAATACGAGTGACTATACCATGACAGTGTTAATACACCGTATACAGGACCACTATAATAGCATCATCAGTGACCTGCGACAGTCTCATCCATAAATTCAACACTTGCCCAATCTATCACCATCCTCGGTAGTGCTACAGGGCAGACACCTCCCACCACCCGACAGCGCGGTGGGACAGGAGGCGGTCCCCACCAGCCTCCTGCCACCCGCCAGCCTCCCGCCACCCTCCCATTACCCGCCAGCTTCCCGTCACCCGCCAGTCTTCCGTCAGCCTCCCATTACCCGCCAGCCTCCCATTACCCGCCAGCCTCCTGTTACCCGCCAATCTCCCGTCATCCGCCAGCCCACCGTCACCCACCAACGCGACGACGTGAGCATCATCCGATCCATCACCAACCCCGGAGGTGAGCAACAGCAGCCCCTCCACCTGCCACCCATCAGCAGGGCCTCACCTTAAAGGTAACAAAACCATCTAAAGAACAACCTGCTGTAGGCGTCTTTGTGTGTATTGTACAAAAGAAATGGAAAGCCGGAGTCGAGCTATAAGGTGTAACTTGTGTGAAGAATGGCTGCATGTAAGATGCACAGACTTACTAACAAAGGAGGAACATGGCAGTCTGTCGCCTAGCGGCCCAATTCCTGTTTTTGTGTGTAAGATATGTCTAAATGCTCAACAGTCTATTCCACTGATACCATAAATATTATTTGGGTAAAAAACAACTAAAAAAGGGTAAACGATTTCATTGTACTATGTGGGAATGAACCCATCTGAAATGTAGCCTCAGTGATATGCCTTGGGTTAATATTTTACTCTTGTTTGTTTGGTGAATTAATCGTAGATATTATTGTTAAAAAGTAATGCCTCTCAGATGATACCTGTAAGACCCTTTGCTTGGCGCTCATACATGTCACTTGGACTATTCCTGCTCCGTGTGGTACCCTGCCTTACCATAGAAGCTAAAATCCAAGTTACAAATTATTAAAAACAAGGCGGTGATGATCATTCTTAGGCATGAACGCAAGAGATCACGTTGTTCACGAAGTCCTCAAATCACTTAAAATATTAACGCCCGTATTATTAAACATCTTCCCTTGAAGAGGGTCGTCGTGTTTCAACCCGAGTTTTAAACTAAATAACTCCTGAGGAACACCGCAGTACTGCACTTAACGGGGTGGTGTGGCGGTAAAATTAACTAATTCCAATATTATAAATTAACTTTATTGGAATTAGTTAATTTTGCCGCCACACCACTCCGTTAAGTACAGGACTGCGGTGTCCCTCAGGACTCATTTAGTTTAAAACTCCTGGTGAAACACGGCGACCCTCTTCAAGGGAAGATTTTGTTTAATAATACGGGCGTAAGTGTGACGGATAAAATGAAGCAACTGAGACTGAATCACGCTTACAGGTTTTTCAATTTCCTCTGCCCAGAGTATATAGCAATTAACTTTGCAAGGATTAGATATTATGAACAGGCAGGGCACTAGAGGATGTTAACATAATTTTATGGTACTTGGTATCCGCGGTAAGCGGAAAAAACCCACTTTCTTTACTGGTATAACAGACTGGTGATGAGGTGGTGGTGAGGTGATGATGAGGTGGTGGTGAGGTGATGAGGTGGTGGTGAGGTGATGAGGTGGTGGTGAGGTGATGAGGTGGTGGTGAGGTGGTGGTGAGGTGATGAGGTGGTGGTGAGGTGATGAGGTGGTGGTTAGGTGATGAGGTGGTGGTGAGGTGATGAGGTGAGGTGATGGTGAGTGGTGGGGTGATGAGGTGGTGGTGAGGTGATGAGGTGGTGGTTAGGTGATGAGGTGGTGGTGAGGTGATGAAGTGGTGAGGTGGTGATGTGATGAGGTGGTGGTGAGGTGATGATGAGGTGGTGAGGTGATGAGGTGGTGGTGGTGATGAGGTGGTAATGAGGTGGTGGTGATGTGATGAGGTGGTGGTGATGAGGAGGTGGTGAGGTGATGAGGTGGTGGTGAGGTGATGAGGAGGTGGTGAAGTGATGAGCTGGTGGTGAGGTGATGAGCTGGTGGTGAGGTGATGAGCTCCTAGTCTGATCACTGTTCTTCGTCGGGTTGCATAAAAGTCTATCACTACTTTCGCCTGACTTCATTTTACATACACACACACCTTGACATCTTGACGTCACACACACCTTGACACACACACACACACACTCTCCCTTCATTCCCTGTCCAATTCCTCTATCACATAACCCAATTATTGATGATTACGATCACTGGGCGGGTAGGTGGGTGAGTAGGTGGGTGAGTAGGTGGGTGGTTGGTGGGTGGGTGGTGGGTGGGAACAACGTTTGAGTCTCACAACTTTGGGTAGTGTTCCGTCTACTATCACTGGTGGTGCTGTTTCTCTTGCAACTGTTGGTGTGGTCAGGTGGTGTGACTGCTGGTGTGGTCTGACTGTTGCTTGAAGCTGTGTTGGTGTTGTCAGGTGGTGTTGTCAGGTGGTATGGCTGTTGGTATGGTTGCCCTTCCGTTTATGGCTGTGATCTGGTACTTCCAACAGCTGTGTGTGTGTGTGTGTGTGTGTGTGTGTGTGTGTGACGCTCGCTATCACCCGTGTAGGTGACCTCGAGGTAGACGAGTATTCTGAGTAATGCAGTTTCCCATGTTTTATGATCCTACCCCATTGTTTCTCACCGGCCGAGTCTTGGGGAAGGCTGAGATCTCCTGCTGCTGCTGCCTGCCGGCCACACACACACACACACATACACACCTCCGCCGACTCGAGTCCCTCAGAGTTCCTGCGCCCAAGCACCTCAGTGTTTACTCAACATTCATACTTCCCAAGCTCACCTACGCCTCCCCTGCCTGGTCTTCCTCCCTAAATGCCACACAACATACACAACATAGACACCTAGGAAAAGTGCAGAAGAGGGCATTGCAAGATTATTCTCTCCCCTTCCTACTCCACATATCAAGAAGCGCTCAACACACTGACCCTCTCAACTTTCTCTGACCATCACCACGACCTCATCTGCAAATTTGATGAGAAACTTCTGCACCGTCCTCGACACCGGCTTCTAATACCACCCGAGATCCCTCGTCCTCAAATTGCTGTTCGACACCACAACAGCATCCAGTCCATATGAGCAGGCACTGATCACTAAAAGAACAGCCCAGTCCCAACCATTGTAAAAATTATCAACAACTTGTAATCAACCAGTGTATTCACTCCCAGTTAATCTTACCTTTTTGCACTGTCACTCTCATTATATATTATATTTGTATCTCTTATTTTACTTGTAAATTATTTGTCAATCAAGAAACCTATTCCCCAATTATGTAACTGTATATTTTCAGCCTTCTGGCTGCCATGCTTTCAATAAACCGTGAATTATTCTTATTATTATCACAGACACACACACACACACACACACACACACACACACACACACACACATCCATTATTTCAAACTTTTTAACCTTGATCTCATATACTGTACCTGTAATCTTTCTCATCTTCCTCATTTTCTCTCCCAAACAACCCCTACGATTCATTTTCTTAATCACCTTTTCTCTTGCATCATTTATATGTTGTGCATGTGTAATCTTAGCCACAGACTACCTTAAAGAAAATGGAATGTAGGTGGGGTGATATTCTGTGACTCCCAAAGTGTTTTGAAATCGACGAACCGTCAGGCTCTCTGTCTAAAGTTGTCTGTGATATTAAAAGAAATGTGATAACTGCTAAGGAAAACAGCTTTCGTATTGAATTTGTGTGGATTTCGTCCCATGTTGGAATTAGGAATCATGACCGTGCTGATAGACTGGGACCTTGGCCTGTCCAATGCTGTACTTAAAAACATACTAGTCAAAATCATGAACTCTGATGTAAAAGAACTGAGAAATGCAGAGACCTGGTAGTTGTAGCATTAGTACCCTGTATATACGACATGTGTGACAAGAGGTACCGGTATGGCCAGCATAAGGACAGAACCAGACAATGTGATGTAGTCGTGGCCAGAATTAAGCTAGGATACAGACACATCTGGCAAGTTAATAACGCTGTACCCATACCGGAACACTCAGCATGTAAAATTTGTGATAAACTCTTAAAGCATACACTTGAACACTATATTATTGAATGTGACACTGTCAAAGACTTCAGGCCACCTGCCTTATTGTATCATGAACTATGTACAGTAATTACTACACTGAATCAGGAGTGCTTGAGGACATTCTTGCTGTCTATCCCAAATTTGCTAGTCCACACTAATTAGTCCTCAAATAGAATAAGACTTATACTGTACATGAACCACTGTCCTGTCTGGCAGTGAGAAGTGATATCACCCTCATGAATATGACCTATACTATTAATGAATATGACCAATACTATTATCCCCTTTGTGTATGCACCTCTGTCGTGCGTGGCAGTGAGAAGTGATAGCACCCTCAGCACCTCTCTTATCATTTATACTTCCCTCTTCATCATTCATGTTAAGACAACTATTTCTTCATTATATCATGTACAGTAATCAACTTTCTCGTCTCATCTATCCTCCTTGGATGGTAACCTTTCCTTGTTGCGTGCTTCCGTTAGTTTAGCCTTTTTTTACAACTTTTCTCTATCACTTGCACTGGTCTTGGGTGTATGTTACTTCACAAACACGGTTCTTATTCTTTCATTCATTCTGTCTGTCTGTCTGTCTTCCTATCTACTGTTTGACCACCATACTGAGCTCAACTCTCTCTCTCTCTCTCTCTCTCTCTCTCTCTCTCTCTCTCTTTCCGTCAGCAGGGCGAGTCAAGTTGCTCGTGGTGGTCATTAGTATTCGGGAGGGAACGGTGTGTGGCCGCGTACACGACACCTCCCGAGGGTGTTATTCAGAGCCTGCTGCCCTCCCTCAATATTCTCTATACATACGTTCATACATTCATGGGCTATTTCCTGCGCTTGCTTGATTTGCATATGAGAAACACACTGGTATGTCTTGAGAGAGTAAATAAGTAAAGGAAATGAATCACCTGAAGTTAGATATGTCTTGTTTATTTCACCTGAAGGAAATTAAATACCATAATTTTTCCTAGGGAAGGGTAGGGTAGGTGAGGCTACGGTAGATTAACTTAGGTTAGGTTAGGTTAAATTAGGTTAAGGCAGGGTAGTGTAGGTTAGTGTTAGGTTAAGTTAGCGTTATGGTGGTTCATCTTAAAGTGAAAAATGGTGGGGTGAGGGAGAATTCTTCAGGTTATACATAAAACTAAATATTTTATAAACATAAACTAACAGTGTTCTAGCAATATCAACACAAGACGAGGTGGACAAGTCTGAGTTGCCGCGTATCCATTCCTTACCAGACAGCTGATTACATTACCTTATATAATATAATTTGGCAATCTGCAAGTCTAACTGTAAGACTACCAAAACTGGAGAGACGTGGCAAGCGAAGGAGTAATGATGAAAGGGGAAGGGATAAGGAAGGAAGGAAGGAAGG